CGGACATATTAAATTTAATTTTTATTCAAATATATTAAACTTTGATCTAATGACTTAAAAAATTTAAAGTAAATACGAATAACATCATATCTAATATTATCAACCTGCATTTAAATCTAATCTTATTTACTCAAGCAGTTTTATATGTTTTGTGTTAAAAGGTATGTTTTTATACCCTTGCAGAGGGTATTATAATTTTGGTCAAAAGTGTGCAACGCAGTGAAGGAGACATCTCCGACCCTATAAAGTATATATATTCTTGATCAGGATCACCTCCTGTGTTGATATAGCCATGTCCGTCTGTCCGTCTGCCCGTCTGCCCGTCTGTCCGTCCGTCCGTCTGTCCGTCTGTCTGTTTCTACGCAAACTAGTCTCTCAATTTTAAAGATATCGAATTGAAACTTTGCACACACCCTTCTTTCCTTTGCACGCAGTATATAAGTCGGAACGGCCGGGATCGGCCGACTATATCCTATAGCTGCCATATAACTAATTGATCGGAAATGCCATAACTTTGGTGTTTGAAAAGTTAGAAAGTTGGGATTTTCTATAGGTATTATTTTTGGCAATCAATCCGATCTACCAAATTTCATAAGGATCGGCCGACTATATCTTATAGCTGCCATATAACTGATTGATCGGAAATGCCATAACTTTGGTGTTTGTAAAGTTAGGAAGTAGGGATTTTCTATCGGTTTTATAGTTGGCCAATCAATCCGACCTACCAAAGTTCATAAGGATCGGCCGACTATATCTCATAGATGCCATATAACTGAACGATTGGAAATGCTATAACTTTGGTGTTTTTAAAGTTAGGAAGTTGGGATTTTTTATGAGTATTAAGAATGCATCATATGAATAATTTTGGAGAATATAATTTACAGAGTATTCTGCAAGGGTTTATCAACTTCGGCTCCGCCCGAAGTTAGCTTTCCTTTCTTGTTTTTAGAATGTTTTTTCGGTGCCATTTCTTTTAATTTTTCAATAAAATATTATTTATTTGTTAGTGTCGCTTACAATTCATTCTTATAAGTTTTCCCAATACAAATTAGTTAAAATCGCCGCTCGAATTTTCTTTGCGCTGCGTTTCAAAGCGCAGTGGAGAGATTCCTGGAGCGGGAAGGCGGGAGAGCCTGGAATCGCAAGCGTCCAGTGTGGGAGAGCGGGAGAGCCTGGAGTCGCGAGCATCCAGTGCGGGCGAGTAGGCATTCGCTACGAGGGAAGCGCGGGCAGTTTAAAAGAGGGGAGAGCGGCGTAAACATTCCGCCCCCCTTGCAATCGCTAGCGTTGCAAAAGAAAAAAAAGCCCACTCCTGTCGTCTAGGCTTGACTGCAGGCGCCGGACAGGATCCACCCGAATGCCGTCCTCTGGGCCAATGGGAGTCCCTCGTCGACCAAATGGAAGCCCGGTCGGATGACCTTGGCGTAGACATCCGCACCCAGGACTACAGAGATGGTTGCCGGCAAGTAAAAGCGTTTGTCGGCCAACGGGAGCTCTCGGATGGGGGTGCGGATGCGGACGTTCGGCTCCACTTTCAAGACCACCTCTAGCTTGAAGCCGTTGTCGCACTTCGACCGAATTGTCGCCGTGCAGATGCTCTCGTCGCCGACGGTCGTAGTCGGCAAGCGGAACGCGGACGCCAATGATGCGTCGATGCAGCTCGTCGGCGTACACGGGTCGATGAGGGCGGCCGTGTCGAAGGTCTTCAGCCCGGTCTCCAAAGTGACCATGGCCGTCGGCAGGACATTCACGCTGTGCCGTTGAAGGATGGAGGCAAGTGACGGAGCCGGTGCCGAGGAGGCTGAGCGCGGCAGAGAGGCAAGCGCTCTGCGAGTTGGCGGATCTTGCCGGCGCGAGCGCTGCTGAGAAGCGGCGGATGCCGAGCGCCTTGCCGGGGCTAGCGCTTGGCGAGTTGGCGGATTCTGCCGGCGCGAACGCTATTGAATAGCCGACGGCAGGGGACGCTCGTGCATATGGAGGAGCGTGTGGTGCTTCCCGTTGCACGTTTTGCATTTGTCGCCATTGCGACAACTCCCGTCGGAGTGCTCGTGGGCGAAACAATTTGAGCAGTACTTATTAATAAGCACTGCCCGAAGCCGCTTATCTGCGCTCAGCTTTAGGAACCTCTGGCACTTTCGAAGCGGATGGATTCCACGGCAGACTCGGCATCGGTAGGAATGTATACCTCGAGTACGTCTGCTTTCCAATGCCTGAGCGCTGCGTGGACGAGGAACCATGATGTGATCTGGTAGTGAGTAATGGATAAAAAAAGATGATTTGAAACTGCTTAGATGGCGAGGATTGTTGGGGAATTATGTGGAGGATGTTGGTTGAGGAAGACGGTTGGAGTGTTCTCCTGGCAGAAGAACCACCTTGGTCACGGGACGCTTGAAAATCCTGCGTGCCGTGAGAATGCTGACGACACGGACATTGCCGTCAGCCCCCGAAAAGATAGAGTCGATTCTGCCAAGGCGCCACTCATTCGAGGGCAGATTGTCCTCCTTGACAACTACCATGTCGCCAACGCGGAGATTTGCGGTCGGGGACTGCCACTTGTTACGCTTGTGGAGCTCTTTGAGATACTCCTCTTTCCATCGAGCTTGGAATTGTTGATGGAGCGCCTTTAAGTGTTGCCACCGATTCACAATGGACTTGGACTCCCCTTTTAATTCGGGTTCCACTATGGACAGAAGAGGTCCGACGACTAGAAAATGCCCTGGTGTCAATGCTAAGAGATCAGTGGGATCTTCAGACATAGGAGATAGCGGTCTGGAATTTAAACAAGCTTCAATTTTCGCTAGGAGGGTTGAAAGTTCTTCAAAAGTGTACTTTCGAGTAGCGGTGGACTTGTAAAACAAGGTTTTGAAGCTTTTGACACCCGCTTCCCACAGGCCTCCCATATGGGTTGCCCCCGGAGGAATGAATTGCCAGTTGAGCTGCTGATGACTATACGCATCAGTCACAGACTCTTTTACGGCTTGTAGAAAATCTCGGGAGAGCAGGGTGGCAGCGCCGACAAAGGTTTTCCCATTGTCGGACTGCACTTGACGGGGACAACCTCTTCTGGATACGAACCGAGCGAAAGCGGCGAGAAATTTCTCGGTCGTCAGATCGGATGTAGGCTCTAGATGGATGGCCTTTGTAGAGAAACACACGAAAACCAACACATACCCTTTTGTAATTAGGCAAGCTCTGCCTGTGTAATTTTTTATGTCGAAAGGGCCAGCGTAGTCCATCCCTGTGTACGTGAATGGCCGGGAAAAAGAGACTCCCTCTTTCGGAAAACTTCCCATCATCTGAACTTGCAATCGCTTCTTATGGATAACGCAGACCTTGCAGGAGTTACTAACGGCCTTTACCAAGTTCTTTATTTTCGGAACCCAATATCTTGACCGTGTGACACGTACGACTAACTGGTTGCCTCCGTGCAACGTTATGAGATGCGTAAAGCTTACCAGTAGTCGCGAGAGTGCACATTCGTACGGGAGGATTATAGGATGTCGTTCATCATATCGCAAATTTTCGGAGGCCGTTATTCGGCTGCACGCCCTTATAAGCCCTTTCTCATCTAGAAAGGGGTTCAAGGAGAGGATGGAACTTGTCGCGGACACTGGACGCTTTTGACTCAAGCAGCGATATTCATTAGCAAAATATCTGCGCTGAGTGCTAATGACCATGAGCCGTTCAGCGGCGACTAGATGGACTTCCGGAATCGGCGACTGTTTCCTACATCGCTGGACAAAACGGTGGACATACGCAAGGACCCGTAAAGCTCTATTTAACTTGGAAAAGCGATCAAGGATGTCTTCTGTCGGAATGGACGCAACATGGGCCTTGACAGGACGCCTTTCCACTTCGGTCACCTGTAAGTCGGTGCTTTGGGCAGGCCACTGATCTCGTGGCTTTTTCAACCAAGTTGGCCCATGCCACCAAAGGGAGTTGTCGACCAGTTCTTGTAGGGGCACTCCCCGACTGGCCAAGTCAGCTGGATTGTGTTCGGATTGAACATGCGACCAATTGGCTGCCTCTGTGGACTGGCAACGAACGTTGTCCACTGGCATACTGGTTTGGCTAGCCATGCAAGCACAATCGTGGAATCGGTCCAACTATGGAGTTTCGAGGACAGCATCGGCATATGGGGGAGGATGGATTCGGCCATGTCGGATAGCAATAGAGCTCCACACAGCTCTAGTCTGGGAAGCGACACAGTTTTTACTGGCGCCACGCGCGTCTTGGCCGTGAGAAGATGCACTAGCGTCGTGTGCCCCATCTCGACGCGTACATAGATCGCAGCACCGTACGCCTTTTGAGAGGCATCACAGAATCCGTGATGTTCCACTTGGAATTCTGGGCGGAAGGAAACCCATCTGGGAATTCGGACTTGATCTAGGACTGAGTAGCTTTGAAGGAAATCACGCCACTTTTGGCACAGTTCAATTGGAAGTTCATTATCCCACCCTAGATCATGCAGCCAGATTTCCTGCATGAAAATCTTGGCACAGACCACGAAAGGAGCGAGCCAGCCTGCTGGATCAAACAGCTTCGCAATTTGGGAGAGAACATGCCGTTTTGTGAGTGTAGCTTCGGTGGATAGGTCGGGGAGGGCGAAGAAAAACTCATCGGATGTTGCTTTCCAACGGACTCCGAGAGTTTTCGCCGTGCTTTCCGTATCTATTTCGATGAAATCGGCATTTAAAAGATGACCGGTTCCGATATGAGCCAGAACTTCTTTGTGGTTGGAGGTCCATTTCCTCAATGGAAAACCAGCCGAATCGAGGGCACTCTGCAACTCGCGAATGGTGAGGTGAGCCTCTTCTGCAGAGTCGGCTCCCGAAAGGACATCATCGACATACATGCAACCAAGAATAACTTTACTCGCCCTCGGATGGGTTAGTTGCACGTCGGTCGCCAGCTGTTGCAGTACCCGAATTGCCAGAAACGGTGCGCAATTGACCCCAAACCTAAAAGTTTTTAGCTCAAAATCTCGAATGTATCCTTCTCTATCGCGGAATAAGATACGTTGGAACGATGTCTGCTGCGGATCTACCCAGATCTGCAGGTACATTTTCTATACTATACACAAATCGGAAATATCGCCACTTCAGGATCTGGATGATTAGATCGGACTGTAGGACCGGGCCAGCATGAAGGATATGATTTAAGCTGACCCTATTGTCTGAAGGGCTGGAGGCGTTGAATACCACTCGAAGTTTGGTGGTCGTACTCTCCGGTTTTAACACTGCAAGGTGTGGCAGGTAGTAACACGCTGAATCGTGGGTAGGAAGGACTTCTCTCATGTGATTGAGGTCGAGATATTCTTGAATAACTGAGTCGTACTTGGATTTTAGAGTACTGTCCCTTTTTAGCCGCTGCTCGTTTCTTAATAATTGAGCCAGCGCCTGGGATCTGGAATATCCTAGGGAGCATTTAATGTTCTCAGGATCTCGAAAAGGAAGACTCACGACATACCTGCCGGTCTCGTCTTTTGAGGTGGTCCGAAGGAAATTGTCCTCACAAATCAGGTCGGATTCTTTTGCCACCTTTACTGGCAGATCCTCCACCTCCCAGAATTTGGTGAGGAGCTTATCGAGGGACGCTTCATACGTGTGTGCAACTTGCGTGGAAAAGGATGATATTTGATCTTGCCTCGGAGCGGGTTAGAATCCAGCCGAAAATGGTCTCTTGACCGAGAAGCGAGCCACAGATGTTCGCTCGGGTACCGCTTAGTAGAATGGATGGAAGTATATCGGCCCCGATTAGAATATCTTTTTGTGCGCTCTCATAAAACTTTGGATCCGCTAGCGGAAGTTCGGGAAGGTCTCGCAGGAAATGTTGCGGAAGCGGACATGAAGGAAGATTTCCGGCTATTTGTGGAAGCACGTAGGCAGTGGTGTTTAACTGCAAGCTAGGCCGGGTTGGAGAACGGATCGTGAATTGACAGATCTTTTTGGTCTCAGCGGAGACCGTTTGATTAAGTCCTGAGACCTGTGCTCGGATAACCTGGAACGGCAGTTTATTCAGGTTGAAGAGGCGCTCAGTGATGAAGGTCGCCTCAGATCCGGAGTCTATTAAGGCTCACGCTTGGAAATTGGAACCTCGATGTTATTATATATTAATTATAGCGGTGCCTAGGAGGATAGTGCCTGCCGCAAAATAATTGTGAAGCGTTGACAGCGTGCCACTGGCAGCCGAGGGACCGAGAGTATTTGGTCTGGATCTGGGCGTTGGCGTTGGATTTACACGCGCTGGGGATGGGCTGCCTCGGTGTAGGAGGGTGTGATGGCGGCCGCGGCACGTGAAGCAGTTATGTGCGCTTTCGCAGTCGCGCAACTGATGTGTCCGCGCAAAGCAGTTTAAACACAGCTGTTTTCTTTTTATATATGCGATGCGTTGGTCGACCGTCATCTGGAGAAATTTGGCGCATGTGCGTACAGGATGGTTCTCTCTATTACAGAGATCGCACCCTCTAGGTTGCCTAGGTGCTACCCTTGTCTCATATGGAAGTGGATGCCCTGGGCTGAGTCTGACTAGAACCTGATGGTCGAACATCATCTATGGCTTCTAGTGTCCTGTGACGCTCCGTTAGGAAAACGTTCAGCTCGTGCCACGTAGGGATCTCGGCTTTGTTATGAAGGGACTGCTCCCATAGGGAAAGCGTAAGCTTTCGGAGTTTGGACGAGCACATATACACCAAGAGGCAATCCCAAGTTTCGTCCTGAATACCGGACATTTCTAGTGCAGTAAGGCAACCCTGGATAGTACTTTGAAGTTCTTTTAAAGCTGACCCAGACTCCTGTGTGACGGACCGTACATTGAAAAGTATCTTTAATTGACTGTTTACTAACAATCGCTTGTTTTTGAAACGCTCAGTGAGGTTATCCCACGCTGATCGAAAGCCATCATTAGTAAGGGGTGAATTTGGAACTATATTGTGAGCGTCGCCACTCGTTTTAGCATTAAGGTGAAATAATATTTCGACAGGAGTGAGTCAGGGATTGTTGATATAAATTGCCGTGAATAGATCCCTAAAGGTTGACCAACGAAGATAGTCGCCGGTAAAAACTTCGGTATCGCACGGCGGAAGCCGGCAGCCTGACGGAATGTATGTCTGAGAAGGATCAGCTGGCGTTGGGGAAGGTTGCGGAAGTTGCGGAGTTTGCGCTATCATATCTGCTATCTGGGCGCCGCACCTTTCGTACGCGCTGTAGCAATAACCGTACTTAGCCTTGAGGACTGGCAAGCTTGACAGCTTCCTTGACAGCACCTTCTCCGGCTGCTACAAGGCATGCTGTAAGGATGTTTTCCCAGCCAGGATATGCTCAGGGGTTGGCTAGGGCCTCCACAAAATATTTATAAATTTACAGTGGATGATGTGGGTTAATCGAGTGAGTTTTTAGGCGTGGTCCTTATAATTAGGAGAAGAAACCGCGACAAAAGGTACGTGGATGTACCTAAGACTGGCTACTGAGTCCGGGCAGACCCTGGACTTAGTAAACAGTTATCGTAGGAACCTATGTCAGTGATAGGCTTTATCGGTGGCTACCATAAATTTGGTCGAGGCAGGGTTTGGTTACCGTAAAACTTGGGTAGCCCCCTTGGATTTTTAATAATTACTACGATGTAATTCGGGCAGACTCAGGTTTTTAATAAGTACTACGATAAAACTCGGGCGGACCCAGGGCTTTAACAATAACTACGGTAAAACTCGAGCGGACCCAGGGCTTTAATAATAACTACAGTAAAACTCGGGCGGACCCAGGGCTTTAATAATAATTACGGTAAAACTCGGGCAGACCCAGGGCCTTAATAATAACTACGGTAAAACTCGGGCGGACCCAGGGCTTTAATACTAACTACGGTAAAACTCGGGCAGACCCAGGGTTTTATTACTAATTACGGTAAAACTCGGGCGGACCCAGGGCTTTAATAATAACTACGATAAAACTCGGGCGGACCCAGGGTTTTATTACTAATTACGGTAAAACTCGGGCGGACCCAGGGCTTTAATAATAACTACGATAAAACTCGGGCGGACCCAGGGTTTTATTACTAATTACGGTAAAACTCGGGCGGACCCAGGGCTTTAATAATAACTACGATACTACCCTATTAACGGCCGATATGTTAGTTAATTACGCGTCGGGATTACGGTTCCGTTACGTTTGATCGATTCTCAGGTTAGGGTTATTATCACTTGTTATAATTAAATTATTTATTCAACGGGCTTAATTGAAGCGGGTCGAAGGTCAGAAAAAAAGAATATACACACGTTGTCGAAATTATAATTTATTAATTTAGTCTTTATTCACTGTTGGCTTCTTTCGCCTATTCGTCTTGTTCACATGAGTTCACCAATCTTCGTTCTACAATTTTACGATCTAATCGCGTTTCTCGCTGCACCAGTAAAATTCTGCACGACTGTACCGTTTTGCTTACCGACTAAAACCACGTGGTCTCCCTAATTGCGACTTATCTCGTTTTCTCCAAGTACGACTATCCGGCTTCGATGTTCGCGTGTCAGTCCCTTGCGTTCTTTTTCATTTTGTTCTCGTGCCCTTGGCCTCTCCGATCTCACCATCTTCTTACCACGCAGTCGCAGTGGTGAAGTTCGATTTCGCGACTCCCTTTCTCCTTTTGGCAACAGCAACTACTCTGCTCTGCCCAGCTCGCTTTTCGATATTCCCTCTCGCTCTCCGTTGTCGTCGACCGCGAAGTCGCTGAGGTGGGCTTTGCACTCCGTTCAGGTCGTTCAATTTACTCCTCTCTCATGCTCTTTTTGGGGTGAATTCCTTAGGCAACTGCGTAGGAGTTGTTCCCGGTTTCGCCTCTCTTCCCCGCTCTCCTCTCTTCCCCGCTCTCCCCTCTCTTTTCCACTTATTAAATAATGTACCTTTTGTTGGTTTTTGCCTAGGCTTATTATGCTAATTATTAATTCATTGTTTTTCTCTTAAAGCTAAAAAATCAAAGGAATAACAATAATATTAATAATAAAAATACGCATATTTCCTCCTCCCCTCCGTGGGGATCGGGAATAATTGTGGCGGCATCGGAATCGCCGTCACACCCCCCCTTACTTGGGAGGACGAAGGACTACGGTCAGAGCCGTTTTCCTTCAGCATCGACATTCCGTGTCACTCGATACACGCCTCCGTCGATTTCTCGGGTGAAGCGATCCCTCTTTGGTCCTTGTGGCACGAATCTGGTCAATTCGTTCACTAGCTCCTCCGGGAGCATACGGCCGGGCGTGTAGACCCTCCAGGTCTCTGGTGCTTCCAACAGCGTCTGTCGAGAGGTCTCGGTTGCGGCTCGCTCTAGCGCCTCGATGTCCTGCAGCAACTCCTCTACCCCATAACCCTCTTCGTCGCCTTCTAGTCCCAGGCCGAAATCGATCACGTCTAGGTCCTCCACTCCGGCCCCTGTTCCGGGTTCTGCCTCCGGTATAGCTTGGGGTTCTTCGGGCTCAATCGTCGTGGCCCTAGAGTTGCGTCGCCGGAGACTCAGAGTCGGGAAGCTGGTATCTTGGGAAACTTCCCACTCGTCCCCGGACGACTCAGCGTATCTACGCCGAAGGAGCGGTTGATCATCCTCTTGTTCTTCCTCGGACGGGATGGAGTCCCAGGTGCAGTACTTCCGCGGGCGTATCCGGCGGCGTCGTGCGGTTCCAGTTCCCTCAGCGACATCTTGCCCATCATTTATCGACGGTCCTGTGCTTCGCCTGTCTTCGCGACTCTTCCTGGTATCGTCGTCTACCTCCTGGGGTGGGGGCGTGGGCTCCCGGGCCACCTGGGTGTTCTCATTGCGGCATCCTTCGCTCCATGCCGCTCGTGCGGCCAGTGGGGGTGCACGAGTTCTGCCGCAGTTTGCTTCAAACCGGAACGCGGGGCCTTGTCCTAGAGGTGGAATTATGTCCATCGTCACCTGCCGGACTTGGGTGACCCGATATCCCCCAGGATTGTCGCCCAGTGGTAATCCTCCCGTTCCTAATGAAGCTGGCAGTCCACTCGCTGTCTTCATCCTCCTCCTCTTCGGACTCTTGAACTTCGCTATATCGAAGGCATCGTATTCTTTTTTGATGCGGACCCATACCTCTCGGATTTCGTCTCGGCGAATATTGAGGACGGATAACGTAGGAGGGACCGCCGAGGGAATATTTATTCGCGATTCCAATTCGGACAATCGATCCGAGACTTCAATAAACTGGCTCATAGCGAGGTCGGCAGCCGTTGCAACCATTTTTGTGCTGGCTCGCGTGGTACCTTCGATGGAAGAAGGAGCCTTTTTGGGAGGTGGCGTCTTGACCTTTTTAGGTGTGGGCGTCCTTACCGTGATTTTTGGTATTTTCGGTGATGGAACAGGGGATAGTTTGTTGGAACTTTCCCTGGACATACCAAACTAGGATGCTGTTAGGATGGAATGTGCGCGCTGATATTTCGGACAAAAATCAGAGAAACAATTACGGACCCACTTATGGACCGGTGGAAATAGAGTATCGACTAGCTCAAAAAATAGTCGATATGCGTGGCTGAATTATTGTTAAAATATTCCCCAGGCTTTTGGTGGAACGATGGAGCCAGAATGGAAAAAAATACCAAAAACTACCACAAAATAAAAATACTGCAAAAATACTGTATTTAATGAGGTATTTGTCGTTTAGTATTTTATAGGGGGTGGTTGGCCGAATTAGGATGGGATTGGATGTCCCCGGCAGTGTTTGGAGTTGATTGGTTTTGTTTTTCTTTATTTAAAAAAAAATATTCGGAGACAAAAAAAAAATACCTTACAGTGGTATGCGGGTGGTATTTTTTACAATTTTTCTTTTTTATCCCCAAACGAAAAAATTTAGTATCGATATATATGTAGATTTACCAAGCTCAATAAATAAGAAAAAAAATACTGGAATGGGCGTTTTTTTGGAAAAAATGTGAAACCGAAGAAACAAATTAATAAATCAATAAATTAATAAATTGATTCCACTAGTTCCGCGATGGCGACAGTATTTTATATTACTCCCCTTTTTTTTTTCTTTTTTGGAACTGGCAGTAATTCTCAGTATTTGTTTAATTTTATTGGAGTTGAACTTGGTGTTCATTAATTTTTTTGGAGGAATTTAATTATGGGATGATTGAAAAACAACTGCCCGAACTTTTGCGGCCTGTGTATTGGTGACGATGGAATGCGCGGGATCATCGAGCTTTTTGCGGTACTGCAATTCGCGTGTATGTGTAGATGTATGGATGGATAGTGCCCAAAATATGTAAATAAGAAAAACACACTGAGACACAAAAGTTATTTCACGTCGGCTTTAGGAATTTATTTAATATATATTTATTGGATGGCCGACGGAAATACTTGAGCTTTCGGAATTGGGGTGTAGTTATGTAGAACGAGGACGGAAGCTAACTTCGGCAAGCCGAAGTTTTAATACCCTTGCAGACTTTGACGAAATTGCTAAAACTGAAAAAGTAGCGAAAGGAATAAGGTATACATAAATAAACTAGATTTGCGTCGTTTGATGTCAATTGCTTTTATACTGCAAAAATGTCATATAAAAATGGAAAAAAAGGGATACTTTCGCAGCCTATAACTATTTTTCCTACGGAAGCTATATGAAATAGACGTCCGATCGGCAAGCGCTTTTACCCTAATCAAGATATGCATAAAAAAATAAGATTTGGAGAGATTTATGTTAATAGCTTTTACACTGCGCGAAATATCTTCCATTCTTGAAAGTTATATCCGATTGTTCCTATGGGAGCTATAGGATATAGACGTCCGATCAGCACGCGCTTTTACCTTGATGAAGGAATGCATAAAAAAATACGATATGAAAAAATGTATAGCAATAGCTTTTACACAGCGCGAAATATTCTGAAAAACATAAAATTTGGACCGATTTTACCCTATTGTTCCTATGGGAGCTATAGGATATAGACGTCCGATCGCCACGCGCTTTTACCCTGATCAATGTATGCATAAAAAAATACGATTTGGAAAGATTCATGTCAATAGCTTTTACACTGCGCGAAATATCATCAATTCGTGCAAGATATATCCGATTGTTCCTATGGGAGCCATAGGATATAGACGTCCCATCGGGGCGATTTTCAAACTTGATCTGCGTACACATGTTTTAGGACGAGTGTGAAAGTTTCAGATCGCTAGCTTTTA